TTTGATAAAGTCTCACAAAATCAGAGAAGTTTCTACGTTAAAAAAAGAATTTAATTCTAAGGATTTTTCCAGAAATGATTTAAGTTTTCCTCATAGTTCTTAGTTCTTCCCTCAGAAAACAAATGTTTTTGCATTGTCCATGTGTGCTGAACTGACAGTTCTGTATGACAGCAAATGTGAGGTGCCTTTGCCGTACAGCCACCGCCCTCGCGATGACACGGCGCTGACGACGGTGAGGTGCGCCCCGCCCCTCCGCCGTGCCCCCGTGCCCCAGCGGGCTCCAGGACCCCAGTCACCAGCTGCTCAGCGTGACCCGCTGCACGGGCCGTTTTCATTTCATCATGCGAGAGAGACAAAACGTTGCGTCTCCGCGGCTTCGTTGTCTCTTTACTGCAAAACTAACAGCAGCACGACGCCGGCGGTTTGTGCAAAGTGCAGCGCATTCGGCCGAGTCACCCGCACCAACGACATCACCCTCGCGGGGGAGGCCTGCAGCAGCCAAGCGACACCCGTGGGTTGGCGCTGCCTTCTTATTTTTGCAAAACGAGCTGCTGAGCCGCGGGCCGGTGGCTGCCGAGGGGCCCACAATTACGAAAAGTCTTTTGTTCATGATTTAAGGATTTCACATGATTTCATGGATTTCAACGGATTTTCCCTCGGATTTTCCTTTAATTTCAGCAAGATTTTTAGTTACTTTACACTGTTAAATTCCTACAAAGCATTTGCTTTGCAGAGCTGCGAAGTATTTTGCTCCTTTGTAACTACGAAGCATTTACTTTGCAATTACAAAGTGATGCTTTGCAATTGCAAAGCAATGAAAACGCTGCAAAGCATCGCTTTGCAATTGCAAAGTGTCACTTCGTAATTGCAAAGCATCACGTTGTAATTGCGAAGTAAATGCTTCGTAATTACAAAGGAGCAAAATACTTCGCAGGCTTCTAACAGTGTAGCAAGATTTCCACTACTCTCAGTTAGATTTCCATTGATTAATTTCCGATTTCAAGTGAATTCCACAGAAGGTGAATAAAGCATTCCGGTAAAGCTGAAATGCAGAAGAATGCGGGAAGAAGAAAGCGGAAATCGCTATACTTTAGCATGGTCACTTCCGTTTTCTTGTTCCTCGCATTCTTCTGCATTTTAGCTTTACCGGAATGCTTTATTTGACTGGTTTCATATGAATTCAAGAGATTTATTCAAATAGTTTCAAGCGAATTCAAATCATTTTTTATTTGTTTGCAGATTTCAAGTGTCAAGGTGATTTGAAGGGATTTCAAACAAATGCCAGGGATTTTAATGTGATTCCAGGAGATTTCCAGTGCATTAGATGAAATTCGAAGGATTTAAAATGACTTGGGAGGAATTTATGAGATTTCAGTGACTTCCAATGCTCTTGAGGGCCAGTACACATGAATTCCAGAGTTGCGCGGCCCGTGTGTGTGGCTGCGGTCAGCCAAGCGGTGTATCTATTTCATGGTCAGTGAGTGCACTTTTGTTTACGAAAATCGAAGCTGATAGAAATAACTGACCGCACGTTCCGTTTTGAAGTGTTTTTTTTTTTTTTTCTATCACTGCACTCATATACACGGACTAGTAGTATCTATTATCACAGCAGCCGGCAGATTGTACCACGCCAGTGAGAGGCTAAATAAGTAATAAATTTTCCCCTTTTCGCGCCTCGGTGCGAAAAAATGTAATCACCACAATACCGTTAGTTTCGTGTTACCCGTATACTAATATGTACAAAATCACTAGTTACAGAGTTAAATGACATATTTTAGTTTAGGGATTATTGAAAATACGTTATAGCGTCTTGTCTTCTCCCCTTTACTTTTGGAGGGGAATTCCCAAGCTATAAGAGAAGTCTTCTCGCACTTATAGACTGTAATCGGTTCGTGGAATGATATATCCCACTTGAGTTTATAGACGATCACAATCTGCAATAAAAGGGGATGGAGGGTGGTGGACAAGATATATGCAAGGAAAGGGAGGGGGAGGCACTGCGAGTCCGAGTCCATATGTCTCGCCTCGCAGCGGTGCGAAGTGCGTGGTCGGCGTAGTGGAAACGACTATCGGGAGTAAATGCGTGCGGCGGGCGCACCGTATGAGCTTTGGAAATCATGTTTGCAATCACGCGTATCGCGACGCGCCGGTAGCGAGGCGGTGGCGAGGTGGCGGGGTGGCGCGTGACCTTGGCGGGGACGGGGGACCCCGCCGCGGCCGTGCCACGCCAATGTCAGCCATTTCCCCGGCAAGGCCGCGGCATAATGAGAGCGCTCCTGAAGTAGCCGCGGAGTGTCGCCGAGTGACGGAGAGTGACACGCGGTATGAGCCATGATGCACGGCAAATGAAATGTTGTGGAGGGATGGATGGGTGGATGGATGGATGGATGGGTGGGTGG